TATAAAGTGGCTCGGTATGAAAATCTGCTGAAAGAAGATGTTCAAAAGAAGGCTGCATCACATGGAACCTATTATAGTGATCCTAATTTTGATCTTGATGTGGCTGAGGTGGTTACAGACAAGCCTGTTTTTTGTCCAGACCTTGTCAGACCACCTCACCAGCCTGAGACGTCTGTGAGACGTTATGTTGGTGAGGCTGGAAAACAGTATACTTTTGATGTGTCAAAAGCTAGTGATATATTTGACCACCTTAAAAAGAGTGGTCTGATTAAGCTGCCGCCGGGACATAAAATCCCGATAGCGGCTGAAATCGAAGCTAGAGATTATTGCAAATTTCATAATTCATGGAAGCATTCTACTGATAATTGTCTTATTTTTCGTAATATCTTGCAAGAAAAGATTGATAAGGGTATCTTAAAATTTCCAGACAAAGCGAAGGAAACCATGGGAGTGGATGTAGATCCTTTTCCAGCTGTGTCTGTGGGCGTGAATGTTGTAGACCTCAAGAGTGTTGCCAGAAATCGCAGTCTGCCTTTTGCGCAAAGGAACCTTGCTGCAGAAGACTTAAGGTGGGTTCTTGAGGCGCAGAGATCCAGACACAGCAGGAGCGTCAGGTCAGACCAGCAGAGGCTCGGGGGGCAAGAAAGGATCATTGTGACCAGGAACTTCAGTCCAGAAGGTGCGAGATGGTATTCAACTGGTACTAGATCTCCAAGGATGGTCAAACCGCCACTCAGGTTACCTTCCAAACGGTGGGAGAAAGTCAATCATCCCAAGTTTCCAGCCCAGAATCCCAGAACCTTGAGGTGCAGACTGCAGCGCAAGAGGGCTGAAGAACGAAAAAGGCAACAGAAGCAGGTGGAGGCTGAGGGAAGTTCATCTCGCAGACCACGCCAACCTACAAAAAGGAACATGGTCTGGGTGAGAAAAGAGAAAAAGGAGGCTGTAACCTAGACTCTACAGAAGGAGGATGATCAATCTTCAGCCTCTCCAAAGGTGGCGTCTGTCATTGTGAGTCCAGATGGAGTTTTAAAAGCAACTTTTGAAGCACAAGAACAGTCTGGGAATCGTGGATCTGAATCAAAAGAAGATGGCACTATTCATTTTGGGGAATTCTCAGTGAATTTGTCATGTCTGGTGCTGACATTACCCTTGGTTTTTCAAGCCAAGAAGGAGGAGGAACCAATTGTTTGTGAATTCCCAAAACAGACAGAAGAAGAGGTAATTGTTGTTCCAGCTCGGGATGATGAAGAGGAGGATATGGCTGACAAAATTGTGTTTGAAAAACCAGAAGAAAAGATGGCCAGACACATTAGGCCACTTTATATCAATGCTCACATGGATGGGACTCCAATCAG